GTGCCTGGGGCTCGGAGCCCGGCTGCACCGGCCAAGGGCGGCTGGGAGTCCTGGAAAGCGCGGAGCGAGCGGGGATGGTGCTGCCCCTGTGCCACCAGGCAGCCCCAGAGCGCGGGGCCAGGCTGGCAAAGGGAGGATGGCGGTGGTGCCGTGCGGGCAGAGCGGTGCGGGGACCTGTCAGCCCCGGGTCCGTTTGTCCCGCTGTCAGACAGTCCCGGGTCCGTTTGTCTCGGCTGTCAGACAGCCCCGGGTCCGTTTGTCCCGGCTGTCGGACAGCCCCGGGTCCGTTTGTCCCGGCTGTCAGACAGTCCCGTGTCCGTTTGTCCCGGCTGTCGGGCAGCCCCGTGTCCGTTTGTCCCGGCTCTCACGTCCCCGGGTGCAGTGTCCGGTGCCCGAGCCGGTTCTGGGGCTGCTCCGGACCGAGCCCACATCGCGCCAGGGCAGGCGGCGGCTGCGGGACCCTCACGGGCACCCAGCGGTACCAGTTTGGGGTTCGCTGCTCCTCGGGGTCTCTCGGCACGTCCCGCCCTGGCACCGTGTCGGGACAGGCTGGCCGCGACCATCGCGGCTCCATCCCCATCCCCATCCCCATCCCCACCATTCCAGCTGGGTTTGAGCTGGAAAATCATTTCCCAGCGCGGACGCTGCTACCTCTGCCCACCTGCGCTGGCATCCCCCACCTGCCCGGTTCCTGTGCCCAGCTCTGGCACTGGCACCACCGGCACGGGGCAGGAGGGCTGTGGGACCACCCGTGACTGCCCTGCAGCTGCCACGAGCCTCGGTGGCCCCAGCGGTGCCATCCCGCTCCTCCCTGGACACTGAGCTGGCCCCGGGCAGGAGGAAGCCGGGTGGGTGGCACAGGTGCCAGTGCTGGGGCAGGTGGCCACGCCGTGGGTCCGTGGGCTGGTTGGGGCCCTGCTGGTGGCATCGTGACAGCAGTGAGCGCACGTCCACAGTGCCAGCAGCGTCCCCAGAGTGGCTCTGACGGGACTGAGCCCTGCTGGCACTCCTGACCGCGAGGAATTGCAGCGGCAGCGGCACCCAGCACCTGCCTGCTGCCTCCTCCCCTCACCAGGGAATTCTCAGCCCCTCCTGACCAGAGCCTGGCTCAGGATTTTCTGCACCAGACACGTCCCAGGCACTCCCCTCGTGCTGCAGCTCCTTGTGTCACCTCCCCCGGGTCCACCCATGGCAGCAGCGCCGAGCCACTCCTGCGCCTCGGGGGCTTTGTGTCCCTTTTTTCCAGCCCACATTTTTCTCCCGTTTACTCAGCCCGTGTTTATCTCCCTTTTATCTCACATTTTAGCTCACATTTTCCTCCCGTTTATCCAGCCCACATTCCGTGGCTCTTTCCCCCGGTACAGCATCCTGGAGATGTGCTCGTGTCCTTGCTCACGTCTCGGGCCCATCTCCATCTTTGTGGCCTCACTGTGGCTTTGCCCCGTTTCCCTCAGAGGATGCTGCGGTGTCTCCCCCTCCTTGTGCTCAGCCAGGTGACTTAACTTAATTAATCACCAGGATTAGCAAACAGTTAATTACAGTTAATTACACCTCCCGGGCTGCATAAGCAGCCTTGGTGTGATCCCTCCTGCCAATCCCACTCTCCACTGGATGTGAAGCTACAGCTGCCTGCTCACGCCCCTTGTCCGTGCCCGTGCCCGGGCATGGCTGGTTTGGCGATCTTGCTGCTTGCCCGGTATTTTCCCCGGTGTGTTTTGGAGAAGTGGCTGCACTTGCAGCACCTGAGACACCAATGCCCCGTGCCAGTGCAGTGGGGTTGCCGTGGGTCGGTTTTTGCCGTGGGTCAGTGGGGTTTCCGTGGGTCAGTTTTTACCTTGGGTCACTTTGCCGTGGGTCAGTGAGGTTTCAATGGGTCAGTTTTTGCCGTGGGTCAGTGGGGTTTCCATGGGTCAGTTTTTGCCGTGGGTCAGTGGGGTTTCCATGGGTCAGTTTTTACACTTTGCCGTGGGTCAGTGGGGTTTCCATGGGTCAGTTTTTGCCGTGGGTCACTTTGCCGTGGGTCAGTGAGGTTTCCATGGGTCAGTTTTTACACTTTGCCGTGGGTCAGTGAGGTTTCCATGGGTCAGTTTTTGCCGTGGGTCAGTGGGGTTTCCATGGGTCAGTTTTTGCCGTGGGTCAGTCTGGCCTCACCCAGGGGCTGGACCGTGGCTCTGCAGTGCCCAGAGCCGCTGCGGGGACCCCAGGGACCAGGTGGACACCGAGGGGCAGCAGGGCGAGGCCTGGGAGTGATCCCGGCTGGAAAATCGAGGAATTCTCAGCACGGGAATGCAGAGGAGCTGGAGCTGCGCTGGTTCTGGCTGCGGCCCAGGACGGACGTGGGGGATCCCGGCCAGGGGAGCTGTGGCGGGGTTCTGCTGTCCCTGGGGTGCCCCAGCAGTGCTGCAGAGCTCCCCAGGGCCGGTGTGGAGCCTTGTCCCCTGCCAGGACCTGGGGTCCTGTTCCCACCCGCCCTCTGCTCTGCTCTGCTCGCAGGTGCAGCGCCCTGTGAGGGACACCGGGATCGCTGGAGAGAGCGAGGAGGGGTCACCGTGGGACAGCGAGGGGACGGAGAGGTACGGGCACCTCTGGGCACCGCTGGGCACCGCTGGGCAGTGCCCGGCGAGCCGTACCTGGTTGTGACACCTGGCGGAGGAGTTGCTTAACACCCTGCAGAGCCCCAGGGCCTTCCATGGGGTGGGGAGGGCGTGGATAGGCTGAGATGGGATGAGCACAGGTGGGCACATTTAGGTACAGATGGGTACAGGTGTGGTTCTAACTCTCTTGGTGCCGGTAGGGAGCAAGCCTGGAGCTCAGGTGGGGACAGCGTCCGTGTGGGGGTCGGGGGGGGGA